AATCCAGTATAGTCAGTAATTGTCAGGTTCTCTTGCTCCCTCTTATGGCGGTTTCACACCGCACCCAAAATTACATGCTTTGCAGTTTAAAGTGACACACACTTAAACTTACTATCATAGTTTATATATATTATTTTACCCAAACTACGTTAGGTAACCTATGTTATTCCTAACAGCAAGAAAGATATTCAAACGGGAAAAAACTCACTTAACAAATGTCTCTTGTAGCAACAGACATTTTGGGTTCAATTAAGGTTATAAGTCAAGGACTACCTGTATAGCTGAGCTCCCCATCAGTCCTTTAATAAACATTGTCATGTCCCTAGTGAACAGTTCTGGATTTAAAGTATTCTCCTTTCATTCTTCATAGGAATTATGTCTTCCAACGACGTTTCGTCAGATTTGATGGAAAAAATCTCATGTATTTTAACAATGAGAAGGTGGGAACAATAAAGCAGAAATTAATATTAAGCAACTACATGTGTCCCATGGAGTAGTGGAAAATAATTAGATTCTGGTTGTTGAAAAAAGAAGATTGATCCTAACTTAAGTAAACTGGAGAAATGGTAGTGGAAAGTTGGTCTAAATCAAGGTTGTGAATTATAGTTCTCTCTTTCAACATGTCATATTTTCTTAGATGTGTGCTTCTTTTCCGAAGTCTTCCTCTTTGTATTACTCACTCCATTTACCAAGTATGAAATGTGTTAAATTGTGGGCTAGAGATAACTCAGGGGGCTCTGATTGCTTAGCTTCTTTATTGCATTGTTCAGAACAACCACGGTAGCCATGGCAGCTCCTTTATTCAGTGGAGCTGCTCCCGGCTACAGCCAGTGACAGCTCTTCAAATTCCTGCCGCCACCTACCAACCAATCAGAGGAGCATATGTACAGTACATATCTAACACCCCTCCCAACCTGGTCCAGTCCACCCAATCCTGTCCTGCCTAATGCACATAATCACATAGGTAGGCTATGGGTGCACCCCGACCTGCGCAGCTCAGTCATGGACTGGTCTTTGAGCTGTTCAGCTGGACTTATCGCTTCTCCTGTTCGCTCCCTTGGAACCCCCTCAAAGCTTCTCACTAGGGCAGCCATTCTACCGCCACTAGATATGCCCTTTTAATTTCTCCCCTGGTTTGTCCCTGCCTTTGTGTGTCCGGTAAGTGACTGCTATTTTCGTTCGTTGTTTTTGATGCTATCCTTACTTGTTGAGGTTGTGTCATGTTAGTCATTTGGGCCTGTTCTGTGTTATCCTTTGTTTGGTTGGGGTCTCCCCTTTCCTCTCTGGGTGTGTTGCATCTGTGGGAAGTGTCTTCCCCTTCCTCTCCACTTGTAATGTATATGTGTGAAGGGTCTCCCTCTTCCTCTCTGTTTATGTTTGTGTTCCCCCTTGTCCCTTGGGTTCTTAGTTGATCAATGTGTCTTCTCCAGCTTCTGCCATCAGTCATGTTGACCCTGTAAGAATGTGGCCCCATTACCTGGGCCATTGTCACCGGTACCCATAGAGGTTCCCGTTAGGGTTTTTTTGTAAACTGGGTCACCTGTTTGGAACGTCCGGAATTTGCTTGATGAATCTAGTGGTCTGTCTGGGTTGTATATGGGATGTAATCTGTCTAGGGGTGATCTCAGCTTTCTCCCCATGAGTAGTTTGGCCGTGCTTTTGGTTGCGCTGGGTGTTATGTGCTGTATGCTTAATAACTTACCTATTTTCACTTACATGTCCCCTGGCCCTAGTTTCTGGAGGGTCACTTTCGTGTACCGGACCATGCGTTCCACTTGTCCATTCATTGACTAGCGAGTCCACTAGGTGTCCCAGTGCCGATAGGGCATGCCTAAACCCGTTCTGTGCTAAAAACCCTCAAACTGGGTGGCAGTGAACTGGGATCCATTGTCAGATACTATTATATCTGGCAGGCCATGTGTAGCAAATAGTTTCCTTAGATTTCTAATGACTGCCTCTGTTGTCGTGGACTGCATGATGCTGACTTCCAACCATTTAGAATATGTGTCTGCAATGATAAAAAATGTGTATCCCTTTACTGGCCCCACGAAATCGATATGTACCCTTGACCATGGTCCCCTTGGTGTTTCCCACTCATGATTGGGTGCTGTGGGAGGAGCTTGTTGGTTTTCCTGGAAACCCTGGCAGATGGATACCCATGCCTCTATTTCTTTATCCATCCCTGGCCACCACACATAGCTCCTTGACAGGGATTTCATTTTAACTATTCCCGGATGCCCTGCATGCAACATTTCCATTATGTCATCCATTACACTTTCAGGAATTATTACCTTGATCCCCCCACAGTATGCACCCTTTCAATATTGATAGTTCCGTTCATCTGTTCCTGAATGGTTTAGTTCCTTCGGCTGTCTCCTTCTCGGGCCACCCTCTCCCTACCCAGTTCAAAACGTGCACCAGAGTTCTGTCTTTAGCTGTTGCTCTCGTGATGTCGGTTGCTGTTGCTGGTGTTCTTGAAATGGCTACAAGATGTTCAGTG